TGAATCTTCCCTGATTAACCTTTCTGAAAACTCCCAATAAAGGAAACTCCTAAACTTCCCCACAGAGTCTGTTCCACTACTTCATTGTTCCAACAGTAAGGAAGCTTTTTTCCAATAAAAATAACTCCTGAAAATAATAATTTGCTTGCTCCTCATATGGGCCATATGCTAAGGCTTGGACTACATCTACACCAAGCTGCCTGTACCAGAACCTAGCCACCAGAACACATGTGCACCTGTGCACTTCTGATGGTTCCACCTGGCTCTAGTACAGTAGCTGTTACCAAACCATGAAGCAAACTCTGGGAGAACAATAGCTATTGAATGGACTCTAGGAGCCAACTGAAGGCAGAGATGTGTCTTCCTACACCTTCGGCTGGCTGCCAACAGAAGGCTTACTTCACTTGGCAGAGATGAGCAACTGTTACCAGAGGGGAGGAATCTGCCACAGCAGAGGAGCCTTGTGTGTGCACACTCCAAGTTCCGTAGCAAAACTTTGTAACATAGACTTGATCCCACATTAGCACAGGTCATCAACTGTTAACAGGACCGCTATTTAGTAGGGACCTACCAAATTAATGGGCCCTGGCAATCAACTACATGGCTGTAACATGGCTGGGCCCCCCAATTTCATGACTGGGGAAAACCATTTTGAAGGCAGAGCAAAGAGGGCCCTCCATGCCTCCGATTGGCTGACGGGTGCCACAAGTCCCACCCAGGCACTGACTGAAAGCCCTACCCCCAAGCTGCCTGATTTGTTAATTCAGTAATTATCACCCCCTTCAGGAGGGTGATAAGTAATGGGTAAACAAACAGTTTAAGTGTGGTAATTAGACCTGATACCCAACTGAATTGTAAAGCTAGCTACCTGGCTAAAATAAAGCAACAGAGACCATGAAAACTGTACCAACTGTAAATTTTATTAAAAGGGAAAGCCAACACTTTACTAACACCAACTATATACACTTTATTAAAATCAGCACTTAAGTTAAAACTATACACAGAAAGACCTTTGGAAAATAAACCTGACTATGCACAACAGGAACTGGAAGGAACACCAACTATATACAATTTATTGCAGGACATTAAAAGAGTAGCTAACTGAAACCCATGCTAACATTGAGAGAGGCTGTTCAGGCATTAAACATAACCATGCTGCATCCAGCTACTTTTGAGAGGGACACTGCCTGCCTCTGTGGGCTGTTGTCCATAGGCAGAGACGGCATGTTCAGCATCCTCTGAGTTTGTTGGGATGCTAAGACAGTGCCTTGCCAGGGCATACAGGTGGGGAAACCGGTCACGGACAGAGTTCAACAATTCAGACACGCTCACAGGCATCCGGCACTCCTGCACAAAGTTTATGTAAACGGCACACTCACCATTATGGGCTGGCCACCATCCCAGGATTGCTTTCAGGAGCTGAGGGTCCCAGCTCAGCAGAAATGCCTGGCTGGGGTCCAAAATGCAAACAGCACACAGGAAGGGGGCAGCTGGGTATCTGAACCATGGTGGAAGGGACAGGTAAGATCTGTAATATTGGCTGAGTTTTACAGCTACTGCCTGGAACAGCTCATCTCTGCTGGTTTCCCCGAGGACAGCTTGACAGTTCTTGTGATGCCCTGTCCTCCACCCAGCTGATCAAGTCCATCAGTTTGTTCAATGCAGAGGCGCACTTATATATTGGTCCATATCAGATTGGCACCGATAAAAGGAACTGGCTTCCTTTAGCTGGTGTAGCCAGTAATGTCACCAATAAATGCCATGGTAATAAGTGCCACCAATAATATCACTGATGAATGCAATAGTGGGTGCGCAACTCCCTGTCACTGTACGCTCCCAGGGCAGGCATGGGCATGTGCCCCCCACCCCGATTTGTGCACAAGGTGAGGGTGGGCTGAACTGGTCTCTTCCTGGCAGGGAGGCTGGGCCAGGGCTGCATTCAGGACAGACAGGGGTGGGGCAAGAGGCGGCGCTAGCAGGGGTGGCTGCAGGGTAGGCTACAGCCATCCCTCTCACCCCCCCCTCCCCCAAACAAGCTGCCCGTGGCTCTGCCCTGCACCCCACCCCAGACCCACTCCCTCACTGTGGGGGCATCGATCTGCCCTCCCCACACTCCTTCCCTCCCACAGACTTACCAGCTGCCAGGCTGCATATTGGCTATTGGGGATTGGTATTGGCCAATATGGCTGGTTAATAATTGGTCATCGGTATCAGCCAAAAAAATCTTTATCAGTGCACCCCTAACTGTATGTCTGATGGATCACAGTCTGCCTTCCCTCAAACCACGTCAGGAGCTTCATGAACTGGGTGGCATCATCAGCAACAAACATCACTTGATCCCGAAGGTCAGCTCACCTTAAGAGATCCTGGAGGTTGAATAGGCACTCTGTGTTGGGCACCATGTCCAGCTCCTCGTTCATGAACCTCTAGTAGTACTGCATGTGCTTGGCTTGGTAATGGATCGGGTTGAAACACGAGTTCCACCAGGTGAGGACAGTGTCCGGTGGCAGGGACACAATGGCACATTGGTCCCCACGCTGACTGGCGATGGAGTCCCTGTAGCAGATTTTACACCCTGGACAGTGCTTGAAGACTCTTTTGAAGGAGGACACCAGGCTGTCCACCTCAGGGAACCGCATGCGCCAGATATCACCTGCAACGCGCACAAACAGTGTTGGGCAGCATTCCTTGGAGCACATCGGAGAAAGCCTTTCATATATACATCAGAGAGGAACACTGAGACCTGGTTAAAGTTAATGCCATAGTTGTAAAGTACCTTCACTATGGCTTGAGATACGGTGGAAAAGTTGACCAAGGTGAGGAGGACAGGCTCAGTCTGAAGTACAAGGACATCCCCGTCAGTCCAGCTCCCCAGGACAAATAAAACGTGCAGCAGGTAGTTGTCCTGAGGGTCAGTAGCTTCATCATCCATAACAGAAAAGGACTCAATACTCTGACAGGGCAGTCTTTGTGGACTCGATGTGTGAAGTGATGACTGCAGGGAGATAGTTCTGGTGCAGCTTGTTAGTACATGGAAAACTGCCAGCATTTGATATGTTTTGTTTCAGGTAGCCCCTCCCTCAGCTTCGGGTGATCCAGCTTCTTCAGCGGGATGTTCGCTATTGCAAAAGCTTCTACAAGGGAAAATGCTGCCTCTTGCCTTGCCAGCCTGCTGTCTGTCATCTTCCCAAAGAGGGAGGACATGGTTGCTTGCTTCTTTTGACGGTCTGCCTCTGCAGCAGCTTTCCTTTCCGTGTGTGCCTCTGACTCCAGGTGCAATCGATGCTGCCTTTCCTATTCCTGCTCTTTGTCAGGCACAACCAAGCAGGCACGCTGCAGCAGTGTGCCTGCAAGCATTTTTAAAGCCCTCTGGGCTTCCCAGGTTGACCCCGGACTGGCTCCTGGCCTGAGCTGATGTCAGGGGTTCAGCTTCTGATCTGTTCGGCTCTGACTGTTATTCCACCCCCGCCTCTCCCTTCAGAAGGGGACTTCTAGCAGGCTTTTCCCTGTTCCCCCATCCACTTCTGGAGCAAGAGAGATGGGAACTTTTCCCGCCACTTCCCCCTCACCCCGCATTTCAGGAGCCAGGCAGTCTTTTTTTTTCCCTCTCTCTTTGCTCCCTTCCACCTTCCCTCACCCTTCTAGGAGATCGCTTTTTGCCAGCTCTTTGAACATAACCAGTTCCTTGCGCTTTTTCATGGGGAACCGGCTATTTCATGGGAGACTGCCAATTACACGATTTCCATGAAATCTGTGAAATCATGCATTTGGAAGGTCTCTACTCTGGAGTGATAATTTAGGGGATGTTGCTACTCTTCAAAAGCCTTCCTAGAATCCTCTCTCAGTGCCTTGTAGGGATGGACAAGTTATCTCAAAATTCACTGGGAAAGAATTCATAGAATGGCTTGGCTCACTGCAGTGAGCTGGAAACCATTAGGTATGCCTCCAGAAATCAAACTACTAGAAGTGCACCAATAAAGACTTTCTTGATTGAGATACTGATGGCTGATTATTAACCAGCCATTTCGGCTGATACCAATTCAATAGCTGATTTACTGGAATGCAGCCCGGCAGTTTGGAGAAGTGCCCAGCTGGTAAGTCTGTGGAGGGTGAAGGGAAGGGCATGGGGGGGTGCAGATCAAGGCACCTATGGCGACAGACAGAGGCAGGGACAGGGGCTGCTCAGCCAGGACAGACCTGTGGGTGGCTCATCAGACCCATGGGGGGCAGCTCCCTGCCTTTGCACGCACCCCTGGGAAGGTATGGGGGGGCATGTGCCCCCCAGATCTGTGTGCAGGGCAAGGGCGGGCTGCGCACTGTGGGTGGCAGTGGCGCTGTGAGGGGTGGCTACAGGGCACCTGTATATAGGGGGTATATAGCCACCCCTCCCAGCACCATCCACCCACCCCTGCCCAGCCTCCCTTCCACTGGGAAGAGGCCAGCACAGCCCTTGGCCCTGAGCCTGCACCAGGCAGCTTGTCCTATGCACAAGTCTGGGGGGCCACATGACCCCCATTCCTCCCCTAGGGGAGTGTGCGACAGGGAGCCCCTCCCCAGGCCCACTACCCAAGACAAGTCAACTGCTGATCTGCCCTGTGTCCCGCCCCGTCCCAGGGTTGCATTCACCAGCCTGGCTGGGCAACATCTGCCCCTGCCTAAGCCCCTCCCTCACCATGGGGGGCCTCCATCTGCTCCCCCCCACACCCCTTCCTCTCCACAGACTTACCAGCCAGACACTGCTCTCTAAGCTGCTGGGCTGCACTCCTGGCCATATGCATGCATGCATGCGGAATTTACAGGTGACATTCTTTGTTATGCCGGTCAAAAAAAAGCCAACTACCGATAATGTTAATTTTCCTTTTACCATTGCTGATCTGATATGCCACCAATACATCAATGCACCTCTAAAAAATACTACATACAAATGAATGCAACCTCACTGTTAGCATAGCAACTTGATTTATTTTAGTAAGCTAATTTGAAAGAAACAACTGGAGATACTAAGTGGAGTTTAACTCTGCAGCGAAGACGTACTTTTGCAAGAGAAACCGTGAGGTAGCGCGAGAGTTTTACTTATAGGAAGCAGGAAAAGGGAATTCCTGGAGGAGACAACGCATCTCAGGAAAATGACGAGGTGAGATCTTGGAGAAAGGGATGAGAGGATAGAAGTAATGAAAACACTATGGAAACGAAAAAGGGAATTGCTAAAAGAAAGCAGGGAATATAGTAGTTATCATTAGAAGGAACGGACAAAAGGATCCTTTGACGAGGGACGTCCAAGGGAAGGTGGATGACAGAGAAGAGATTAAGTAAAATCCTTAACAGCAGGCCCGAAGCATCACCGGAACAGGCAGCAACCCACAGTAATGGAAGCCTTAGAGAAAATGGAGCGTACAAGGAACAAAAGGGAAGCAAATGGGGTACTTGGAAGGACATACAGCACCCCAAGAAAGTGAAGTAGATACAGAGAAGTGAGCAACCCAGGAAGAAAAAAGAAGTGAACAGTAAAAGACGACGAGTGTAGTGGGAGGGAGGAGAATAAGGGAGAGAAAAATCATTCAGAAAAGCAATAAAACATGCAGCCTGAGGGAACCCTGGAAGAGGCAAGATGACAGCGGCCAGGGTGCGCTCCTGGGCTGAAACAGAGGGATTCTTTGGGGGAGGGGGGGGATGTAGCGGAGGGCAAAGAAATCCAGGAAGAGCACGGGAGCAAATCCTCATAGGCAGCAAGCCTAGGGGGAGACGGAGAGGACCGACGGACAGGCGGATGGTGCTGGAGCATGACGCAGGCACCGAAATCCGCTCTCCAGAGATGACGGAGAAGAAGGGATCCGTGCAGGTGCAGCCTCCAGCCTCGGTGCAGAAGCCGGGAGCCCCAGCGGCTGCGGGTACCGAGGCATCCCGGCGCGGGACGGAGGGCACCCGAGGGGCGGGGAAGGAGGCAGGGGGAGGACGACGACGAGTAGAGCCGCGGAGGCAGCGGGCGGGCGGCAGGAAGCGGGCACCGCGGCCGGGCTCTGAGGAGGAGGCGGGGAGCGGCGCAGGCGGACGAGGAGCCACGGGGGCTCGGCCGGGGGGGGG